GTCCAGTGGATTCGGGGCTTTTGCATCACCCAAGGTACCTCCCTTCACCCCCTTTGATTTTGTTGGTTGGAATCTTGTATTTTTCTCATTTTGTTGCAAACCCTAGTTCATGGTTTTGTTGTGATGAAATCAATGTATATGATGCATTTAGGATAATGTTTGTGATTTGAGAATGTATCGTGTGACTAGCATTGTGTGGGTACTAAGAACTATCATTTAGGGTTTTGTTAGGGTTGGGTTTAATGTTATGGCTAGGGTTATTGTTATGGTTAGGGTTATGTTTAAGTAAATGCTTATGACGAACGTTATAGTAGTTACCTCTCGAATTGTAGCTCGATCTAGTCCTAGGGTTATAGTTTTTGTCAAGAGACGGTTATAATCCCTCGACTTGTAGGATGGCATCGATCATCTATATTGAGAGTTCTGCGGACGCGGTGGTGAAGCGTGAATGTGCAGTCACTGAGGAAAAGATGGACCCGTGGGTCAAAGCCGTCGATGCATTGAATGCGACTTGTAGAGAATTTTCAAAGTATTATGTGTCCAAGTGCGACGATTACGAAGTTAAGTTATACCAAGCTAAAGAGAAAAACATAAGCAATCTGAAGAAGCAAGAGAAAATTCATAGATGTGCTCTAGCAAGGCAAATTGCATTATGTGGAACAAGGGATGAAGTGAATGATATGGACTTTAACAACCCTGGCCAGATCATTGACTGGCTAGTTAGGCAACCATCATCGGTGATACTTAGTCGGGCATCTCGTTGGGCTTGGGTCCGTGAAGAAATGATGTCATTTGTTGCAACCCGGGGCCGTACGACAAAGATGTCGTGTTGATGGACGAATAGAGGTGGTTGAAACACATGATGTTGTAGTGTCATTTGGAATGTAATGGCATGCACCCTTATCATTTATGTAACCTATGTCATTTGAACCAGTGAGAACTTTGTGTATTAGCTCATTCTAAATAACTTATGCTTTGTGTTTGTCTTGTATCATTTGATTTAAGTTTTGGTTTGTTCCATTTCATGTAGCATGGAAAATCGGACCCCGACATTGCAGATAGCATATGAGAAGTGTGAAGGAGAACGACACCATAGGATGCTGAGGGAGCTTGAAAATTGGATTAAGAGTTGTGAAGAGACAAACGCGGCTATGAGTGATTTCAACAAGTATGTGTTCTGTGAGTTCCCTGAAGAGCTCGAGAGAGAAAAATGGAAGCTAGTTACTGAGTTGTAGGAGAAGGAAGATGAGTGTAGATGGACTTTGGGAATGGAGATAGGGTTCTCCGTAAGCATTGATGAATTCGAGGATGTGGACATGGCAAAGCCCGGGTAGATCATTGGATGGGCAATCAAACAAGGTGTGCTGGAGAATCCAAACCGGCGTGCTCGATGGGCATGGTTCCGTGAGACAAAGGATTCGATGATCCATTGGGCGGGTTCTGCCCAGTTTGAACCAAAGCCTAATCGAAAGCGTGCGGAACAAATTGAGCGTATTGAGACAATTAGGGCATACTTTCCAGCTTATTAAGGCCTCCTTTCCGGGTCTATGTCATTTGAAAATGTTCAGGAGGATATTTCCCGGTGTAGAATACTTGTCATTTGAACCAATGCTCTAAGTTAGTTAAATTTGGTAGATGGAACTTGATGTTGTGATGTTATTTATGCATTTCCCTGGTATTTGATAATGTTGATTGA